TATTATTATTATTATTATTATTATTATTATTATTATTATTATTATTAGTAGTAGTAGTAGTGTAGTAGTAGTAGTAGTAATAGTAGTAGTAGTAGTAGTAGTAGTAGTAGTAGTAGTAGTAGTATATGGTTGAATAATTTGAAAAATTCATGTGGCTAAAATGGCAAATCTGTTGAGCTGCTTAAATTTCCTGCACTGTAATGGATGCAACACAGAAGTCCACACCCCACAAACTTTTGTATATTTCTGATGAAAAATATTAAAATGTGTCCTATTTGGAGATATTAAAGTGAAGATTTGGTTTTAAAAAGTTCCTGAACAGAGACATAAGGGTGTTTAACCCGAATCTAAATATTCATTTTTTATTTTTATTTTTACTATTCCTCCTGAAAGTTTCTAGCAAGATTTTTAGAATAGGCACATGTTAAATTGGTTCATTCTGATCTGCAGAATAATAACTACATTGCAATCCTGGCACCATATAATTTGGAAACAACTGTATTGTCAATGGAAGATTCTGCCTTTTGAACTAATATAAATTATGTTTAATTGCTGACAAAGTTTATAGTGATTGCATTTAAAATCTGAAATGTATTTTAAGTAAATTCATTAAATGTGGAATTCTGTTCCTACTTGTATACAAAGTTAGGGTCTGTGAGCATTTTGTTGACTTGAATTTTTTATGTGTTAACTTAGATCCATAGCAGTACTAAACATTTCAAGACAAGGGAATGTCAAAACTAATTAAGTACAGTATTCTAATGTAGGGCTATACTTTAAAATCAGTTGGGCTCATCTGGGTGTACTGTAATCTGTAACAGAATGACACATAAATTGAAGAGAAAGAGAGACAAGATAGAGGAAATATTTTACTAATACTGGGAAATTGAAAACTTGATCTGAGTGTTGATTCTCACTATTATTAGGATACATCACTGCTTACTGTATTCATTTATGGACACACCTTGGCTTATATAGGGCAAGTGATTATAAGTGCTATAAGTATAACTATAATTAGTAAAGTTAATAGCAGTTTTAAAGAATAATGTCACCAGTCAAATCCATATAGTACAAATGTCACTAAGTCATAAAACTATTAGTATTGATGCATCATTTAATCCCATCAGGAATGGCTACTTGCCAACCTTAAAGTTAATGACTTAACATAAACATGGCCCAAACGTTTTTTTAAAGTTTGTAGAATTGTTTAAATCAACACCTTAAATGGAAGAAATAATAACTGTTAAGGCCATAGCATGTTTTTTGAAAATTCGTACACATATTTTTGCAATCCTACAGCAAGAAATGAAGGAATAAACATAGTGAGCAAACCCTATTTCCAGCCTTTTTGGATAAAATAAGAGGTAATAAAAAATGAACACACCTGTGTGCAGAATATTTATCTACACTCTGCAAGTGAGCAGAGCTACACCATTCTAATGACTGCAGACATGCACTTCCTGCAAGACAAGGTATGTCATGTGTCTGGGCATGTTCAGCACAACTACTTGATGTGCAAATGTATGTTTACAGGAGAAGGTTGTCTGTCCTGAGGCTCTTTGGATAATCATAAATATTTTCAGAAAACCAGATATATTTCATGTAGGATATTTTTGTTGATATGGCAACTTTCATTGATCTTCTTTCAGACTGATCTTTTTTTAATAATACCAGGTACCGGGAGCTGAATTGACTGTCTGAAAAGGACAGTATGTCAGATTTGCTCCTGATAACAAGATATTGGCATTCCTCCATTGAATTTTATGATAAAATAGATTTACATACAAAGCAAAACCTGTTTTATTTCTTTTGCTAATCTCCTTAATCATGTCACACTGTTAAACAGAGACATACAATTTAATCAATGTAAAGTATCCAAATCAGACCTCTTAGTCAAGAGTAGTTTTGCAAAGGTTTTAAGAATTTAGGTCTGATGCAATTTGTTTATCATGTTAACATGAGGTGTATAAAGGCAGTGGTATATGTGACTATGAGGGTTTCTTTCATTTTTGTACCATTTCATAGCTAAGAAGACATTTTTTGAGAATGGATGCAACTAAGCACATATTATGATTTCTTTGAGAAGTCTTCTTAGAGGCAAAAATTTGGTAACTTTCTGTTTTTTCCTTTAAAATGAAATATCAGACTCATAATGTCAGATTATATGAATAATTCCATTTTCACATACATTGATAGAATTTCAGGTTCTTTCAATAATTCCTGTAGCAATTGTGACTTGTTTTTTCTTTAGGTTGGTTGGATGATCAAATCTTCGTAGTAGAATATGATCTTAGTCATCAGTGTGACTTGGCTTCTTTGAGTGGCCAGGAGTGTACACTTGGTTACCTGCATTTGTTAGGCATGTTCCTGACTTTGAAAGAGGTGGTAATGACCCTTCTTGAAGAGGCCATCTCTTGGTCCAGCAATTCTGGACAGGTTTCACCCATCCCTTTTAGAGAAGGTTGTTGGTAAGAATCACACCTGAATGTCCAGTCAGTGCTAATAGGGGAAGAATGTTAACCCATAGTAGTTCCAGTGCTGATTACCAAAATGCTAGTCTTCTCCCAAATTTTTTTAACATCTATATAAAACTCTTAAGGTTTTAGTATCATTACTAAAATGTTAAGAGGTTAAGTATCATTGGTATGCTAATGATATTGAGCTATACATCGCCACTTTGGACAAGCTAAAAATGCTTTAAAGGTATTAAGATATTAAGAACTGGTTGTGAAGAAAGAGTTCTGATTAAACACTAGTGCAGTGTTGGTGAAGTGCCGAAACGGGAATTGCGCATGTGCGTGCAGGAACACCAAAAACCAGAAGAGCAGCTTCCCGGTGCATATGTGCATGTCAGAAACCTGAGCTTTCTGTTTCTGGCATGTGCTGGCCACCTGGTCTTCTGGTTTCTGGTATTCATGCATGCACGAAGACCAGCTGGCCTGCATGCACTGGAAACCAGAAGCTCAGCTTCCTGCCATGCACATGTGCGCCAGGGAGCTGCTGTTCTGGTTTCCTCCGCTCTCACATGTGCGAAGACCAGCTGCGCACTGGAAGCCAGAAGAGCAATGGCCGATGGAGAGATGGCTCACTTCCGGCACACGGGCCATAAGTTTGCCGTCACGGCCCTAGTAAGTCAGAGCTATTCTTCATCCATAAAAATCTTCCGCCTTCCTGAAACGTTAGTTCCAGCTGTGGCTCTGATTCCAGCTGGACTAGAATGGTCTTTTCCCATCAGCTAATACACCAACTATAAGGCACGATAATGATTCATGATGTTATTACAGTGAGATTATTACAGTGCATTATATTCTACTTTAAGGATAATGTAGAAGTACTGCTGATACAGAGAACAGGAACCCAGGCTGCTGTGAATAGATCCCAACATTGCAAAAGAAAAGTTATTTTATGGTTGATATCCTGATAGGCAGAAGTCATTTGGGCCCAGTTCAAAATGCTGACTATTTACCTATGAAACCCTGTAGGACAAAGTGCTGGGCTATTTTAGCAACTACATTGTCCAACATTATTTTGCCCATGCTGGCTGATAATTAAGAGTAGCCTGTTTAAGATCCTACACCCAGGTGAGGTGAGGCAGGCAGGCAGGCATGGGCCTGAAAATAGGCTTAAGTAGTGGCTCTAATTTTGTGGGATATGGTGAGCCTGAAAGCACACTTAGCCATCTTATTCCTGGCATTTGGGAGGCTTCTTAAAATCTTCCCTTTTAAATAGGCCTTTGGAGATGCTGATAAGTGGAAGAAGGGTAGTCATCTTATTTTTTATTAGTTGGTGTTTACATGGAATTCTTGTACTTAAAACAATAAAAGCAAATTATAGAAACACATCTGTGGATTTTAACACATTTCCCAGAAATTGGAGATCTTGGATGATGGGGATTTCTTGCTCGTCTCAGGGTCACTTTGTCCCAGATAAAACTGTTACACAATTTGAAAACCCCATTCAACAATTTTCATAGTGCTACAAACATAGTAATCTGTTACTCAAGTATAAAATATGCTGTAATGGGACTGCCTTCATTTTGACTTTTAGTATTGTTATTAGAAGAGGTGGAATAATAAAGATCCCTGATTATTTTGTTCACCTTTGTGCTATTTATTTCATTTGTACAATCTCTATATTTGCACTTTCCAATGTCTGTAGCCTCTAATCAATCTAAATATTGCCAGTTTCTACATCTCTCTCATATCCAATAATATTATGAACTTTGAAAGTATAGCCAAATGTGATCATCCTTGGAAAATGTTTCTCAGTTAACATGTGTTGATTCTAAAGGAAGTAAAACTATAAGATCAATAGTTCATTTTCAACCTCTATGGAGATGCTGTGGAACAAATGTCAACTATAGTTAGCAATGCCGTCTGATACAATTACAAGTCAGCTTTGTCTGAAAACTGACAGTAATAAAATTTGTTTTCTTGGGCAGCTGATGCAGTTTTCATTCTTGCAGATAACCAGGTAAGTGACAGTATCTGCAATACACATTTTTTAAAAACCAGTTTGTTTGATCTGAGTCAGAACTGTGAGAACAGATATTTCCATAGGCTAAATATTATAATATCAAGAAATAAAATGTTAGAAACAATATAACCTAAAAATTGTTGCAAGTGCATAACAAGATACAGTAAAAGATACATTTTAATCAAAACACATTTCTTGTGTATCTAAAAATGTCCTGCTGTTTGAACTGAGTCCATATTTCTGTCTTTGTATGTCTAGATCTGTAGAGAATGGAGTAAAATAAAACCTATGACTCCATGCAAATTTGGTACAATATGCATTAAATTTGCTGCAACATTCCTGCTGTCAAAATGATGTCCTATATAAATTTGGGATATAATGGAACAAACTATGAGTGGTGTTGACTCATCTGATTTGATCATATTTATCTCAATGAGTCATGCTTCAAAATGTTTTCACTTGTCTACTTCATATATCAGAAATGTGCAGGTTTGTCCATGGAATACAGACTTTTTGGGAACATGCAGATTATAAAATAATAAAGTTTGAAAATATATCACCCATGACGTATTGGGGATGTGTCTGAGTTATTTTATTTGCTTGGCATAAAGGTCATTTTACATCAATGAACTGGGTCAGTAGCACTTGTCTGACAGCTACAGTGTGTTTCCACAGTTGATTCATTCTTACATCTCTACATGCATAGATTTCCTTAATAGAATGTAACATCTCCCATAATACCAGTTTTGCAGAATGCTGGTCATTTGGCCCTTATGCTGTTATTTCATTCTCCACTCAGAACATATATTAGGCTCTGAAAGAAGAAGAAAAATGTATTTATCAGTGTCTTAATAATTGAAGTGGATAAATACATTTGTACTAAATTTATAAATACTCAAGCAGTATAAGGGCAACATGCTAGAGGAATTTGAGTTAGTTTGTATGGCTGGATAAAATCAGCATCCAATGTTGTTTCTTGTAAGAACAGATTGCTTGTATGAGTCCCACTGGTTTTCAAAATAGTTTTTTATTGTTATTTTTTAGGAACACTTGATGATGATGGTATGCCCCATGGGTTTTGTATAGTTACATATTCTTCCACAGACAGATTTGAAGGAAACTTTGTGCATGGAGAAAAGAATGGTCATGGAAAATTCTTCTTCTTTGATGGAAGGTAGACATCACTCCGAATTCATATTTAGCCATGCTGTTTTAGACACGAATATATTATATGTTGTACCAGAATTAGTGTGAAGGCATAACATACTAAACTAGTAGCCATGATTTATAAATCACAATGTTTGGAAACATAATGCATGAAATAAATAAGAGTATGACTTATTATGTTATTAGTATGTAATTGAGATAAAATAACAGTGGTTTCTACACTATTCTTTTTTGTTTGCTAGCACACTAGAAGGCTTTTATGTTGACGATGGTTTGCAAGGCCAAGGAATATACACCTATGAGGATGGAGGCACACTTCATGGCACTTACATTGATGGTGAACTGAATGGTCCAGCTTATGAAAATGATGCTGATGGACGATTGGTCTTCAAAGGGCAATACAAAGATAATATTCGGCATGGATTTTGTTGGATTTACTATTCAGTAAGTTGGATTGTCTTCTCACATGTTTCACCATGTAACACTAACAATTATTCCAAGGAATCTGCAGGGGTCAGGGGAGAGTTTCACATCAATACAGTGCAGGCTTCATCTCGTGTGTGTGTATGATGTAAAAAGCATTACAAAAGTAGCAGATATTGTTACCCAGAGATACAATGCTTTTTTCGTTATTTTGTTCACTTCAAAGCTAAATGGAGATAGGTTGTTACAGTTTGGATGCAAATTAGTATCTTATTTTATCACAGTTGTGTATTGCCAAATCTGCAGTGACTAATGGAAGTTTACAGCAAGAATACTATGTATAATATAAATTATACAAATATACATGTATACTACAAGTACATAAAACAAAAAAATAAAAGAATAAGAAAAATAAATGAACATAGTTGAATATAATTGTTCATAACCATACCAAATTTAAAAGCAGAAAAGTTCCACCTTAGCAGATTTATAGAGTGACTCCAGGGTTATGTTGCAAGTAACACAACATAAACAGTGTTTGGTGTTGTGTGAATTTTATGCATGTGAGCAAATGCATGAACTATCTTGTATGGCATGGATAAAGGTTGTAATAAATAGAAAAAGTCCAGAAAGTCCTCTTAGAAAAAAAAGCACTTTTGGGACAACCATGACCTGGATAACTGAAAATCTACATACAGTTGTAATAAATACTTCTGAGATAATCTTAACCAATTTTGATATAGAATAACTACAGCAGAATTGCAGTTGTTTTCATAAATGAATGAATGGCTCTATTCAGGATGCTCAAGCTAGTGATATTTTGCCTTGCCTGAACTAGTTCTTTGGAGACTCTGTCCTTCCTATATACATCCTTCCATTGGTAACAAAATGTTCTCAATTATGTAACTTGAAGAGCAAACCATGCTATTGAATTCCTATACATTTTCCCTGTCTTCCCCAAAACAAGTTTGAAGGAAGTGTTAAGCTGTGGAAGAAGACTAAATAATAGCCCTTTGCACTCAGTTCTGAATTGTCCCTAGGAAAGTAAGACAGAAAATATCTTGCTTTGCAGTCATAACTAGCAAAGAACCATATTACTAAAGTATTTTATATGCAGTATTCTTCACAATGACACCCTTTACAGCTACTGGGACTTTCTAGATTTACTTGTCAACATATGAAGATTGCCATCTTGGAAAAAGCTGAATGAAAGATTGGCAAAATTAGTGAAATCAAACACAGTATAGTCCTTTCTCCAAGTTATGCTAGCTGAGAAGCACAGGATGAAGCACATAACATTTCTGCCTGTGAAAAGAACTCTCTGTCATCTGAAAGTTGACAGAACTATTTTTTAATGTTTTATTTAAATATTTTAACATTATATGCTATCAAAACTCTTTTTTGAAAACCATATAAACCCACCAGCAGAATTGCTCTATTCGTTAAGATACACTAAGCTGAAAATAGAGAAACTTAGAGAAAAACAAAGAAGAGCTGAATTAGATTGCATTCAAATGAGAAACAAAGGACAGTAAAGGCTAATCATGGAGTTAGATCTATTCTAATTGACAACGTATGAAATCCACGAGAGCAAAAATATAGTCCTTTGTATCCTAACCCACACTTTCAGCCATAATCACCCCGAAGTTCGGATGCAGCATATTTTCCAAACTCAGTGGTGACTTAGTTTAGGAAACTGTTTAGGGATTGGAAGCAGAATACAGTAAAATTGATCCTTTTTATCTTATATGCATGTACTTTATTTTATAAACGGAACCTGTACACGCTACCTTCATCTTTAGAGACCCAGCATTTTACATTAATAGGACTGAAATGGTGAGTAGAGAGGTACAAAAGACAGAGTAAATGAAAGAATAGAAAATGAAAGAATAAAGTTCTAACTGGCACTTTTATTATCCTGATCAGAGTTTTTCACATTTTGTTCCCTGAAACTATAAAGCTCTGAGAGATTAAGGACACTTTTTTAAATAAAAAAATCACTCAAACAAAGCCAGTTGTCTAACCCCAGAGTTTTGCCTTTTGATCAGAGTACTGAAAATTTAATTTAACTTTTTAATTTTGGGTTCAAAAAGCTTGAGAACCTCACATCTGAATATTGAGAATATTGAGATTTTGGTTAACAGTAATCTTCATCAAATTAAAAAACAGCACACAATATTTCCTCTTTTATTGCTTTTTTTCAGGATGGTGGGTATCTGGTTGGACAAGTTAATGAAGAAGGAGAGATGACTGGAGAAAAGTTAGCCTATGTATACCCTGATGGGAAGATGGCATATTATGGACACTTCATAGATGGTGAAATGATAGAAGCAAGATTGGCAAATGTTATACTGACAGAGGAAGAAAAAATACAATTTGATGTTATACCAGGCAGTAAGTTGTCACTCATTTATTATATCTCATAATATGTAAATGTCTAGATCCTCTTAAAGATTTGATCACTTTATTAAAGTATTATACTTGCAGTATATATTGCCTTTAAGGCCAAATTTTAGCTAATTCTATGTCTTTTACCAAGTAATGTAGCGATGTGAACCTCTATCTGACATTAATAATTAGGTTGGCTTTTTATATTTTGAATGTAGATCCCCATTTACAACAACTGAATATACAAAGAAAAGAAGAGATTCTCAGAACCATATATAATTACTGTTCCTCGGTGTTTCTTTTTCAGTCAAGCTGAGGAATTTTACATGGACAGCAGACAATATAAATATAAATATTGTAATCTATACTGTCATTTCAGATCAAGACATACAGCAGTATTTGTCAGCAAATACTTTTTGACTGCCGATTACTCTTCTAAACATTGTCTATTTTCTGGGATCTCCCAAGCACTGTGTCAGCTTCCTATCTAGTGGCCATTTCTTGAGTCCTTTCTGAGAGTACTGCTGTTGAATTCCAGATTATAAACTCCTTTGCTCCAGTTCTGTGTATCTAGGGCATAGTAGCTGGAAGGAAGAGAAAATGATGAAAAAAAGAAAAAAAAAACTTGTGCTTATCGGGGCAGGTGAATATTGCTACTATCATGGGGATACTTTGTCAGTTTATGCCTTATCTAAAGCTATTTGATGTTCTTTCAAGGAACAGTTATATAAGGCTAAAGTAGTGATATGGTAGCATATACATTTAATAAAAACATGAAGAAATGTAATTTAAAAAAGACTTAAATGTGATATGGTGGCTGCTGTTAACTCCTTTGGAATAAAATTTAAATTATAATTTATACTTTGACATAGGATATATTGCAACTCTATAGATTGATGGCATTCAGGAACAAATCCATTTTTAGAATTTGGCTACCAAGGAAAATATTTCCCAATAGATTTCAGATACCTAATATTTGTAGCCATTTGATATGTAATTCTTAAGTTTTTAAGAGGCATGCAAAAATACTGTTTAAGACTAAACCACACTTAAGAAGTTGTCTATTTGCATAATTAGTCAAGAAACATTATTTTGGGGTAAAGCCAAACTCCTATACAATTGCTTACAGTTGGAAAGAACATCAAAAATGTATGTGCAAAATTCTTATAAATTGATCCTAAAATAGTGGTCTTTTAAAAAAAATATTAAATTGTGTAACATAAATGGTACATTTTTATCCTATATATTATTTTCTGTACTGATTTATTATAGGCCCAGTTTACAGTTTTGATAAATCTACTTCATCCTGCATTTCTACGAGTCCACTTCTTCCTGACCCTTATGAATCAGAGAGGTAGAATGCTTTATTTTAGTGTTGTCTTTCTGTGCAAATACTTGCAAATAATATTTCACTGGATTACACACATGAGTATACTATCCATTTACTTCCTTTCCACTTCCAAATATTAATCATTTATGAGAACATAGAGATTGTCACATTTGACACTAGTCTAGTTATGTTTTTTTCAACTGTTCATTGACTGAGCCACACAAGGCTACCCAAATGAATTCACAATGGTGCTGTGGGATCATAAACTCATAGCTTGAAGTAGTTCAGGGTTTTGCATAGGTCAGGAGCACCATGAAAAAATTACCAAGATACTCAGGATGTTGTGAACTGAGAACCTCTGGGAATCTCTGGTCTAGTCTGTTTTTCCATGAGCTGGTTTCGTCTCCAGTCTGTCTATTGCTTTGAATATATTTTCTCTTTGTGTGTAGGCAACATGTGTGCACATGTGTGCAGTGTCAGGTGAGATAAAGTCATGAACACACAATCAAAGCCCTGTCACTTTATATGTATGCAACACATATTAAAATTGGTGTAACTTTGATCATGCACTCATAACTGTCATCGGTTATTTTGATTAGCCCCACAGAATTCCCTTACACCATAATTTCATAGGATACTCAGAAATATGTGTTGTGTATTAAAGAGGACTAATTCCAAGGCTGATTTTAAGGGATTGCAAAAGCCTTTTTTTAATAAATTGTATATTGGGATTCATTTTTAGTTATCCATAGATACCCAGAACTAAGGATAATATGGAATGTGTAATTCTAATATTTTTAAACATGTAAATGATATGAATGACTAGCTTATTCTGTTTAAAGTTCTTTAAACTATTTGTTTCTTTTGACATATTTCAAAATTAACATATAGCAATATGAGCTTCACTTCTAGATTCTCATGTGCACTCTAATAAGATCTGTCCTTGAAGCCTTAATGCACATGCATGAAGTTGTAGATCAGATACTATTTTTATTCATTGCTTTAATTTAGGGTCTATGTAGACGCATCTCTTATTTCCAATGCTGGAGAAGGTTTATTTACTAAAATAGCTGCTGAAGCTGGCACAGTTTTATCTTTTTACAATGGCATACGAATTACACATCAAGAGGTAAAGTACAAAGAAACCTTTTCATTGCTTCTGTAACAACTTCCACGTTGCTTATTAATATTTCAATAGTTTTTGCATGGTAACAACATTTCATTAAATAGAAAGAATATCTTTATGCCATTTGTACTAATAACCTTTGTGCTAATTCACATCTGTTACTTCAAATGATAAAGCAGCAGCCCCCAACCTTTTGGGCACCAGGGACTGGTTCCATGGACCAGAAGGGGCATGGTTTGGCATGCTGCCTGCATCCCACAGATGTGGCTTCACTTATTTGTGTGGCCTAGTTTCTGACATGACCGGGAGCTGAGGAGCCCTGATTTAAAGATCTCCTAGGAGCTATATAGGTAGTCCTCGACTTCTGACCACAATTGACCCCAAAATTTAAGTTGCTAAGTAAGAAATTTGTAAAGTGAGTTTTCCCCCATTTTACAAGTTTTACAAGTTTTCTTGTCACATTTGTTAAGTGAATTATTGCAGTTGTTAAATTAGTAGCATAGTTAAGGGACATTGATTTTGCTTGTCAGAAGGTTGCAAAAGATGATGTGATGACATTACTCCACGACACTGCAACCGTCATAAGTGCGAGTCAGTTGTCAAGCAGCCGAATGTAAATCATGTGACCATGGGGATGATGCAATGTTCATATGTGTGAAAAATGCTCATAGGACACTTTTTTCAGTGCTGCTGTAACTTTGAATGAGCGCTAAATGAACTGTTGTAAGTCGAGGACTACCTGTACAGCATTTAGGCTTGGCAATAATAAATACCATCTTCTTTTCATGATATAATTTTGTTAAATACTAAAAATAATTCTGAATGATCTCTAGTGACAAAAAATTTATACTAGTCTGCTTTTTGAGAGAGAAAGATTGAATCAGCACTGAGTTGAGGGGACACACACAAACACACACACACGCGCAAAAGGTCTGATTTTGTGACTTGTAATGAAAAGGAGAAATGTGTACCCAAGATTGCAGGTATAAAAATTTTAATGAATAGTTATATTGGAGTGGAATACCCTTTCTCACCCCCCCTTCCTCCGAGCTGTGATGTTATGTGGCACATTTGCCAAACAATGTATATATCTGGTTCTTTCAAACTCAAAAATGTGTGTGAGTTTTGATTTGATAAAAGTAAATATTTGTCATAGCAGTATTGTTTTCAATGCCAGGTGGACAGCAGGGACTGGTCTTTGAATGGAAATACAATATCCCTTGATGATGAAACTGTCATAGATGTACCAGAACCTTACAGCCATGTAACCAAATACTGTGCCTCTTTGGGGCATAAGGCAAACCACTCATTCACCCCAAATGCTGTTTATGACTCGTAAGTATTTAATGTCTCCTCGTGTCTTGAACTGTCATGATTATACACAGTGATACACTGATTTAGTGATTTAGTGTATGTGTGTTTGTAAGGACAAACACTAAATCATATACATGACAAATTGCCTTAGTTAAAAATGGAACCAAGGAAAACATTTCTAGAAAAAAGTGCCAGCTTGATAGAACAGACACCTTTAAATGAAGCACAAGCATTAATCCTGGCCTACTATGTGTAACTTCATTAATTTTACATATTAGTTTTTGTGTGATTGAGATTTGAAACATTATTATGGGTAGACATTGCAAATGTATTCTATAGCACAACATACCAAGAAATTTATGGTAGACTCAAATAAGTTAATTGTACTTGTCCAAATATGAACATATAAGAACAGAGTTACTTATATCTACGGGAGTTTGCTACTTTTACAGCTCTTGAATAAAAGTTTCCATTGGAATGGGGTAGACTTTTAAAACCAAGTTGTAATTAGCCATGGAAATCTTCTTTTAAATAAAACTCAAAAATCTATGCTAAAGTAAGTCCTTATTTTTACTGTATTTGTTTATTTGTATCACACCTTTATTATTTTTTTCAAATAACTCAAAGTGGCGAACATATCCAACACGCCTTCCTCCTATTTTCCCCACAATAAAATTTAGTACTATTTCTTGTGGATAAGAATAAAAAATCTTAAAGTAAATGTAATATTACAATGATTATTGTTTCACGTGAAGTAATTAATAGCTTGCATTTTTCATCTTGTTTTCCTGAATCCATATGCCTATTTATTTTCTAGGTTTGTTCACCCTCGCTTTGGACTGATTAAATGTATTCGGACAATTCAAGCAGTGGAGAAGGATGAAGAACTAACAGTGGCTTATGGCTATGATCACAGTTCCACTGGACAAAATGGCCCAGAAGCACCAGAGTGGTATCTGGCAGAACTAAGAGCCTTCCAAGCTTCCTTGAAAAAATGAAGTGCAGTTTCCCTATTCAGCACATTGAATCTATGCACTATCTTTGATGCTGGAATTGGAGCAGCCAGTGGTTGATCATGCTGTGATTCTTCAATACTTTTTCCTACATTAGAAAGAGTGGGAGCCTTTTTGTTTTGTTCCTTGCAGCCTAATATGCTTCAGCCACTCCCTTAAAATAATATTTACATTTGTAGTTAATAGTGCAGAATAAATTATTGAATATGCTACACAAGGAAGAGTGGCCTTTTATTTATTTTTTGGCAATTAGTCTGCATCAGCAGCTGTCAAAATATAGAAAGAGAGCGTTTTTAAAACCAAGGTTTTATCCATACTGTGGTTTCTCTGATTCTGCGCAACTACATTTTGTATTTGCCATATTGTGGTGCTAATAGAATTGTGCTAAGTTTGGTATCTAGAAAAGCAGCATAATTTCAGAATATTGCTTTAGGGCGTTTTCTGTTTTGGTGCACAAGAGACCTCTCTTTACATTATCGTCTTCTTAAAGTCAGCACAAATGTTTAAACTACAGTGTCAAGGTTGGTAAAAAGAGGAGCCAGATTGTTGGGGACAATATGCTGACTCCATAAACCATCTAGAGAGAGCTGTATAGCACTGTGAAGTGGTATATAAGTCTAAGTGCTACATGTCGGTTTTTTTAAGGCTCTGAGGATATGTGCCTGGAAGACCAGAGCTGCTATAACTTTAATCATGATAATCACATTTGAGTGACTTCTGTTTGCACATATGAGCATTTTCTACTACTTGTTTTTGGTTTCTTACACTGGAGAGCATAATGTCAATTTGTATAGAACAAATGAAAAGGATATATACCAAGAAATTCCTTGTTTGCTAAATTTGTCTTTTTCCTGCCTTTAATTGATAACTTACAGAATCCTGGAAGCTGCCACTACTTGTCAAAGGCAGATTTCTGTAGAGCTAGGAAAGTAGTTGAGGAATCCTACGTTGCAAACCTTTTAAAAAAACTGCAGAGTAATTCAGAGGGTTACGTGGAAAACTCAACCTTTTTACTATGAAGCAAATTATACTTGAGATTGTCAGTTTTATGGGAATCATGAAAGCACTATTAATCCTAGCTAACATTTAATAATATCATGAGAAAAAAAGTAAACTTTCAGGGATCTGATAGCCAGTTACTGGCATTTCTTAAACAGATTTTCAAATATGTGCAATATATGTTTGCAGAATATTTGCTCTGTATTATACAAGTAGAAATGTCTATTTGCAGTGTGTTTATTTATATAAAAATAAATACCACTGAACTCAGTGGGACCTTCTTTGAATGTAGAGGATCACATTGCTTGTTTTTTAATGCAGAAAAAGGACTCTGAATATTATTCTTATCTATAGGCTGGAGATTCTGTTGATGAAACTTTGATTTGATTATTTCACTATTTTAAATATGTAATATTGGAGTCCCTAATTACAGCCTTTATACTATGTATATTTTAATTTTCAGGTTAAAAAGAACCATTTTACTGCCAAAATAGTTTATGTAATTTATGTAACAATTTTGAACTATTCTTCAGATTATAAATTAGCATTACAGAAATAAACTACTATTTTATTGTAAGTAACAAAGCTAGAAACTACATATTGTAGTCTCATAAGGAATTAAATCTAGGATACTGCATAGAGTAGAAGCCATATAGAAACTGGTCATGTAAAATGTCAAGGAAAAGTCTACTAAACGTTACCAATGGGAAACCTGCAATGCACAGAGAAAAATATGGGCCATAAGACCTGGGATGGTGGTGGAAATAGATTTGTTATTAGATTTAGGCAACATCTCTTCTTTTGTCCCACATGACAGTATATGGATGAGGTGGCATCTCCCCAAAGAGACGCAGTGTATACTCTAGGGCAGTGGCCCCCAACCTTTTTTGTGCCACGGCCTGGTACCGGCATCACAAAATGATCCGCGGCCCGGTACCGGCATCAGCACGCATGACAAGTCAAGGCGAGCCGAGCGACCAGCCAGCCATCCATCCCCCGCTTCTTCCCGCCACCTTCAACTCCTCCTTTGTACCTTTGTCGATGGGCTTGGCTTCAGGACGGTCGCTCAGCTCGCCTTGCCTTGGGTGCTGAAAGAATCCTCGTGCCTTAGTTTCGTTCGAAGCCCCCCCCTTCTATGAAACTAAGGTGCGAGGATTCCTTCAGGACCCAAATGCCGCTTTCCAACTGGAAAAGCTCACCCGGAAGCACTTTCTCGTCAAACAAGATGGCGCCCAGCAAACCAGCGGCCCGGTAGGAAATGTTCCACGGACCGGTACCGGTCCGCGGCCCGGTGGTTGGGGACCCCTGCTCTAGGGGGTCTTTTTGGACCCTTGGCTCCTACTTACAGCAGCTGTGCCTAGTAGGGCCTTTGCACACTTTGGGTGCTGACAGTCACTAATGCCCTTGTGACCTCTTATCCGGATTGTTGCAAGGGACCCTACATGGGACTGTCCTTGAGGAAGCTTTAACTAGTGGAGAATGCAGGTGCAGGAGTAGTAAATGGTATCGGAAATTCGACACCTACGACACCATTGCTTCATGAACTAGGCTAGTTGCCAGTGGGTTTCCAGATTCAATTCAAGAGAGCTAAATTTTTATCATTATTATTATTAAGAATTTATATTATTAAGAGTTTATTATTAAGAATGCAGTCCTTTATATGTTTATCTAAGGGAAATTTTACTAACATTTCTTTTTACAAAGCTGCATTTGATTTCTACGTCAAGAGAATAATGGACATTTTAAATGGATATTGATAACATCACCTTGAGAACCAGAGTTTGGCCTGCAGCAAAGTCGTCTTTATTGTTCCATAACTGTTTCATATCCTAAAAACGATCTTATAGTACTGGTCAAGCCAAGCAATTAGCCCAGACAGTGCATGCCCATCACTTGCCACCAGTAGACTATTTAAAATCAGGACAAGGCCGCTGTTAGTGGGGATTGTTGAAAAGATACAGTTACTGTCCATGAATTGAGAAATATTTGGAAACTTATTCATGGGAACTAATATGATCACTATCTTCATGATATGTAGATATCCATTTGTCATGCTTATGCTGTGTGCTTGCAGGATTTTGCAGGTGCAAAATTATATCAAATCCTGACAAGCGATCATAATTACTGTATGCTGTGAACCTCTGAAACTACAAAGGATGGTAGTGAAATGGATTTGTTTTTTTTAAAACACTTGTGGTCAACACTTTTTAAATACATTAAAATGGTTTCATCTTCTTAATGTAGATATTTGCCATTGTATGTTATATTCTAATTTAGATTTCAACATGTTCATTACATTCTAATTCACATAGCCTTTGCAGTGATTTATAGTGCTCAAAATCATTTAGTGAATAATCCTCTTTCTACAGTCCCTACTGAGTTCAACAGAAGTTATTTGCAGTTGAATTTTCCCAAACTTGTAGCCATTTTCATTTGTTTAAAATGCTCGGTGAGTGATGATAACTAGAAATCTTATGTACTAAGTATCAAAAATATGGAAGCCATCGGATAATGAATCTGATGCATTGTGTGCTTATTTGTGTAAAATTTGCATCCATTGAAATACAGGTACTGTATCTTCATTCAGTTTTAATAGGCATGCTGTGCCATTTTTTGGTAGTTTCAAACTACACAATTATATCTAAATACTTGCATATTCAATATTGAAATATTTAGCTGTTTAGAAACAAACTGCTGTTTTACATAATTGTCCTAGGGAAATCTATGCAGTTCAGAGGGACTCCGTATTTTAACTGAATATTTAATAAAATGGGCATATGATATTTCAATTTAAAACCTGATTGATTGTAGCTTGGGTTTGGAATGCGGGGTCCTTGGGGCTCTCTGAGCTTGGTTGGTTTTTTGCAGATGTTTCATTACCCAAAGTAGGTAACATCCTCAGTAGTCATCTACTCATCAATGATAATGTCACCTAATTTGGGTAATGAAATGTCTGCAACAAAACAAGCAAGTTCAGAGAGCACCAAGGACCCCTCATTTTTTTTTAAAAAAATTGCATTCTCACTACTGTTTTTCTCTCTTTTTGAACTTTCTGTGAAACTTCCATATGTAACTTTACGTAAGCTTCTTGCAGGAAGCTATTTCCTTGAGTTAGAAAAAAATCCCCTTAGCCGAGTGGAATGATTCTTTTGCTCCTCAGATGAGATTTATTTTGTGTTGGGTTAGGTCTGTGTATTTACAAAACATTCAATAATATATTAAATATTACTCTGTGACCTAAAACAACTACTAAGATGATGAGCCTTATCGACATCCATAGGTATTACTTATGATTTCTAAAACTTTGGGTAAAAGAAAAAAAATAATTGTACTTTATTTATAGACATTGTTTACTAAAAACTGAACACATTGTGAAATAAATAGAAAAATGTCTCTGAGGGGAAATGGCTTTATCCTGCATTGTGAAAATAAAGCTTTACATGAATTGTCTTCACACAATTTTTGTCCAATTTCCTATATTGTCTATGATAGTAAGTATTAAATTTATAACTTGGTTTACGTCTGGCCAAACCTGGACATTGATAAAAAGCAAAAAAGGGCAGATTTTTCATGCTGTTCCAATCTCCATTTCAATATGCATCTTATTGTATTGTTTTGTGCTAGCTTTATAGCTTTTTGCCCTTTATCAGTATTTTAAAATTTAGTTCTGTGTTATTAAACATCATTGATTCTGAGAAAAATAATTCTTGAAGACATATACAGAACCTTCAATTTCTGAATCAACTGAAGAAAAATTATTTAGTGCAGTTACAATGTAAAATAATTATTTCTATGAAAATATTTACCTTGACCTACATAGTGGGGAAATAGGTGATAAGTTAACTACAATGCTGAAAAAGTAGACTAAAAAAATTCATGCTATGGTGAATGTGTAGTGCAATATAATTCTAAGGTCATTTATCATGACCCTTCTTTGTCTAATCCTTTAGGTTCCTTTCAACATTAAAGCATGTCTTTAGTTATTTAGTTTAGTTTATTGTCATTGCACCTCATACAACAAAATCGAACACCATCTTCAGTGCACATCATGACCATGAACATGAAAATAAACACAAACACATCCTCCACCCTTCACACATTGAACCAGAAACCCCTGACACCACACCAACACTGCACTATACAGCAGAATGCAAAGGAGCTACTGCCCTGGGATAGAAGCTGTTTTTCAGCCTATTTGTCCTTGTTTTATTATTCTGTATCATCTGCCAGATGGTAATAGTTCAAAAAGAAGGGTTTCCAGGATGAGATGGATCTTTGAGAATGTTTTGAACTTTCTTAAGGCAGGGGGAGCTATATACCTCTTCCCAAGAGGGGAGAGGGCAACCAGTGATCTTCTGGGCAATGACATTAACCCTCTGGAGTGCTTTCCTATCTGCCACTGTGCAATTGGCAAACCATACAGAGGTGCAGTATGTTAAAATGCTCTCTGGTGTAGCAGTAGAAGGTCACCAGCAGTTTTTCATTCAGTTGATGTTTTCTGAGAAGTCTCAGGTAGACTTCTCAGAAAAAGACTCCAGCCAACTAATCAGCACAGTCTCTAAGCATTCGGCCAGAGATACCGTCAGGACCAGCAGCCTTTCTAGGGTCCACAGCCCTCAGAATGTTCCTCAGCTCCTGTTCCTCCACAATGAGGTGGGGAGTTGACTGGTAGTTGTGTTTTATCTGTATCTTATGGTATTTAATTTATGATATTTATTATGATAGACAACCAGATTCTTCTCTTTCTACCTTCAGACAAACTCTTTAAGCCTTGCTATGCAAGGTTAGGGTCAAATTTTGGTTACTTCTACAGTGATAATTGGATAGATACTAAATATTGCAGAGTTTATAAATTAAAATATATTTGTCACCCAAATCTGGCTGATATAAAAAACATGTCAATTTGTCTTTTGTGCTGCCAGTTATGATCAACTGACCATTTAAGTTCTGTTTTCTCCAAACAATGGGAACTTCAATCTTCTACCAGCACTATATTTTTGCCGCTTCAGTTTCATTTCTTTAGGAGGAAAATCATGGAGTGTTTATTGGTGATGGATAATATTATCATTTGTCTGCAAACATACAGTCTAAGCAACAGAAGTAGGGATACATCATAAACAACTGATGGCTTAAATGTCATTGCTCTCATAATTTAGTGAGATGAATAGGGTTTATATAATCCAAATCCAACCCTTTTTGCTCTGTTTCTCAGATATTGATTTGCTATTTTTACTTAATTATCTAATCTTTGTCTGCATAGAGTTCTATTCCTGGAATCTTAAAACATTCAACAAAACTTTTCTTAAAAATGAATCTTAATAATAAACTCTCAAATTATATTAGAGACTGAACAAGCTCAGCAAAATCCTTCCAATGCCTACATATAGTGAATCTTAGCATAGCTGACACTTACACAGAATTAGAAATGTATCATGAATTCTTCAAATCATATGGTTGGAAAAGTTATCACCCTGTCCAGAGCAGGAATCATCAGAGTATTCCAAATAATGTTGTAGATTCCCAGATGGTGTGTGACGTGTGTGACTCAGGGAGCAGTTTTCTGCTCTTTATCTTTTGTGATGGAAAGGATCTTCAGGTGCAGGTGAACCTAATATGATTGGAACCACTATATGAAGCAAGTGGTAGGGAGGCCAATACCTCTCCCAACTCCCCAATGTTTGAAAGGAATATCTTGCATACATTCAGGAGGTAATAGAAAGCAAACT